ATCCATTTATTTTGTGCCTGCACTATGGCAGAGAAATGAAGTTCTTCCAGCCTGCATGTGGTCTGAATGAACGAAGATCTCCAACAAAATGTGTAAGTAGGAAGAGAAAATGAGCAGTGGAAGGACTAGATTTCTAGATACTGTGCAAGCATAAAAAAGCAGAGTAGAACTTTAGTGGAGAGTACGGAGGAGCAGGTGCATATCCCCTACATCTCAACTAAAGGATTACGAAATGAGTAAGACTTTGTCCTTTCTCAGGGTTCCAAAACCCCCAATTTTTTCAAACCTTTCATTTTTTTTTTTTTTTTTCCCCCCCAAGAGGCAAATTTCCGTATACTTCTGCTGAATTTGTGAATTCAGTCTTAATTTTTTCTTGGATTGTTTCTTATTTACAGGACTAAATTCTGCCTAGTGCCAGAAAAGATACAGTAAATGCTATACATGGAGGACACCATCACCTAAAAAAGGTCCAGTTGATACACAAGATACATGCAAAAGAAGGCTTAATTTGTAATTTTTCAAATAGGTGGATGCAGCATGACAACTTATTTTAGTGTGTTCAACATTCACTATTAATTCAAACGTAATATGGACAGGATAAATAGCTTAAGTAAATGATATTGAGGAAGAAGTCCCGTTGGAAGTTTTATGAAGTTTTAACAGTTAAGAGCTTTGCTGCCTAGAAGCTCGCAGTGTCCAGCTGTTTGTCTGATCTTCTAATGAAACAATAAAGCTGACTGAAGAGGGGGGGGAAACACCAGTTCAACATTGATATGGACATTTCAGTGTAGGAAAATCTCTCATAGCTGCTCTCTGCCTAACACCATCTTAAATTTAACTTACCACTGTGATTGACTGACTTTTGTTGTACTTCTTTCATACTAGTAAACACTTTATTTTGATCATATTCCTCCCTGTGGAAAGGAATGACTTTCAATTAATCTCTATCACCCTTTAAAATCAAGAAACAAATGAGAAAACACTTTAATGTCATAGTGAAGTAGAAATAATCCAAGTGCACGATCACTTTTCTCACTTGTTTCATGTTCAGAAGTGCAAGGACTAAATGGGCTTAGAGTTTGTCTGGTTTCACAGCAGTCTTTTAAGTTTTGAATCACCTGGTAAAATGGGGCCTTCTTTCCACAGGTTTATTCTGTGAATCACATTTAAAGTCCTAATATGCAGAGAGGGCTCCCAAAACAGGTTTCTTCTTCAGTAACATAGATCAGAAATAAAAATATTTGCCTGCTAGAAGGAATGGAAGAAACCACCATCCAGGGCCAATACATGCAAAATGACTCCAGTAGGACTTGCCATTGTTTACTCCCCCCAGGATTTAATGGTCTGGCTGGCAAGTTAATATGCTGAGAAGGTCACCTTCAAGGTGTGAATCCACCCAGAGACCTTATCCTGGCAGTGAAAAGCAGTCTCAAAAGAAAACATGAAGATTTTTTTTTGTGGAGTCAACAAAGAGTCCAGGCATCTACATAAACAGCTTAATAAAACTGTATAAACTGAGGAACAAGAAAGAGACAAATTCCCAAGGCATTTGTCCAGAAAAATCATGCCTCAATAACCTAGTTGGCTTTTCTTGTTATTAACAAAAGAATAGGAAGGGTAGCCATTTCAAAAATGAGGGTTTTGAACATTGGAGGCCTATTACAAGAAGTTTCCAGAAACTAGCAGCATGAATGCTCCATAAATTTCAGCTTCTCTCTATAAATAAAATATTTCCTTCAAAAAGAGGTGCTACGGTTTCAGGCACATGCTCCTTCTGTCCTTCTATACCACTGAGTCTTCAGCTTGAAGTCAGTGAAGTTCATTATTAACCATATATATGACCTGGTAGCTTATGGACTCAACCAGTCCAGACTCCTTGGGAGGCCTCGGGGTTTATCCAGCAATAAACCTATGTATTTTGAGGTTTTTGCTTTGTTTGCATGCATCTAAATGTTACAAAAATAAAGGATATGGTAATTCCAGGCTGCTTTATTAATTTCACAATAAGAGCTATCCAAGCAAGGCATTTCTTATTGTGATCCTGCAGTCTGATCTGCATGCATAGCATCCCTTTAAGGTCAATGAGAGTTCACAAAGGAGCAACTCTACCAGCAGTTCCTTAAAGAGAAAGTCATTGACAAAGAACAACAAACCCCTCCCCCCAAAATGTCTCTCACATCTGTTTCAAAATTCAGTGCTCCCTGTCCACAAGTTATCATGAAAGAATGCTCAACAGCAGGCAACACTGATCCCTACCCTTGCCATTCTTTCAGCTATATGAGAAAACAGGCAAGATGGAAATAAGTATTTCTGGAATAAAGGGTGTTGTTTCAGGTATGGACAATGCCTATAATGGAAAAAAAAAATAAGAGTATTTGGAAAAAATGAATGCTGAAGAATGAAATCTCAAAAACTGAGCAACACTTGACAGTTCCACTGCCATTAGAAAGAAATTCTTAAAGATCAATACACGGCATGCGCTAAAAGGGTTATGGGGGAAAAGCTAGTTCCTTTTCAGTTCTAGTGATCCATTCTATGAATAAATAATGGACTGAGCTTATATGCCCTATTCAATACATGGTACAGGTAAAAGCTTAAGTATGCTGGGACAGAATTGAGAGATGAAGTAAGTGATTTGAGGGGAGATGATGGACAGAATTGAAGAAAAGATGTGCATTTTGGAAATAGGAGAGTGATTTTCCTGAAAAAACAGTTCATCCTGAAAAGCTTTAGTACAAGCCACCAGCACTCATATGGAAGATAAAAAGTCCCCATACAGATACTTTAGGGATAACTGAATTGTCATTAAAAGAGAGTTGACTGGGAGGTTTCAGCAAACATGACATAAAATTAGCTTTCAACTTCCTAAGAAGGTTTACAAAAACAGACATAAGGAGAGTATGCTATAGCTCTTCATGGTATTTTACAAGAAGCAATAGACACTCACCACTTTATGATGGCTCTCTCAGCCGGATTTCCTGAGAAGGCTGCCTTTCTGAATGAGGCTAAGATGATCGATGCATGCCAGAGCCATCTGCGGTTCAGAAAGGAAATAACTCTTCTGCTGTTCTTGGAATGTTTGGTTGGATTTCCGCACAAAAGACTTGAAAAGGAGAGACAGGAGTTGGGATTTTTTTTTTTTTCTTCTCTTTTGCATGGGGAAGGGAAAAGGAGGAGGGTGGGTGGTTGGGGGTGTTTGTTTTGTTTTGTTTTGTTTTGTTTTCCCCTTCAAGAGTCCTGATCTCGAGCAACATTTCCTGATTTTATTCCTAGAATTTAGGCAAGATAGAAATATTGTACAAAGCTACACACAAGCATGTTATAGAGATCCAATTCCCATGTAAACACTCTGTAAGGATATCTGGATATAGAAGGAATGTGAAGCACTCTATAATAAAAACAAAGACATCTTTATTTATTGAGGAAAGGAAAGCTATAAAGGAGAAATTCAAATGTACTAAGAAGTGCAAGTGAAGAAACAAAACCAGATTTTCTTGACAGCACAGTCATTATCAATGCCATTTCAGCTACACTTTTTATTTTAATGTGCACATCATTATGTGCTACAGCATCAGAAAGTACCCTGTTGACATGTTGGCCTTATAAATAAAAATAAATAGGAAATGAAGCTAAATTTCTTCTATAAATCCAAATTTATAATTGGTAAATTTGTACCCTGGTAAACATTTCTGGACTTTAAATTCATTAAAACAGCTTAGAATATTTCAGGTGAACAATATATTTTCAGGAAAATCTCCACATAGATATACCTTCCCAAACCTTCAGTTGCTTTATAGGGAATTAAAAACCACAGTGATTCCACAACTGCTTACACAATGAAAATTTTATACGTGAGAAATGTCAAGAAGTCCACTCAGTTCCTAGAATCATGTTATAGGGGATAAAAAATTAAAATATAATGCATGCTACAGGATTGAAAGCTAGGTTTACACTAAAAACCTAATCTGATCACATACTTGTTAATTTTTCAAAAGTTCCTGATATTCCCCAAAACCTTCAAATGGAAAGATAGTTTTTGAAGTAGTAAAATTTCACAGAAGTCATCAGGAAGCTTCACTCAATCTTTTAATAGTTACTCAAACTCTGGCTTGCTTTCCTGCCATGCTTTCTATTTCACCCTGGGACTTTTCACACAAGCAGGCTTTGCCTTTCCTTACAAATATTTTTTCTTTCAAAATACAAATAAACACTCCCAAATACTTGTAGCAATTATGCTTTCAGGTACAAGGCTGTGAATTTTATGTCAGAGCTTAGTCCCAATTCAACCTGAACATGTACTGACCTTTCTTTACTTTGTTTGAACCACAAGAGCTCTTTACAAAGGTTGTCACACAACTGGGAAACATCAAGCCAAATTCTGCCATCACCATGTGTTCAATTAAGAGCACTTGTCTGCAGCAGCTTGGCATCGGATTTATGCCAGTTTAACAGAACAAATCCTGCCCTCGGTGTAATCAGAGTTCTAAGAAACACAGCACTGCATTTCCCAGCAACAACAGGCAGCCTGATCCTGAAAGAGGACAGACAGTAATTAAAGCGTTTCAAAATCTGAATCTGTCAAGAACTGAGAAGAGATACCCTTAATAAAAAGTTATTCAGGGTATTTAAGTGGACTAAAATAAATTAAGCCAAGTTTATATTCCTAATGATCAGTGAATTCTGCAAATCCCACTCTGCCCCAGGAACATCAGCCTTTCTGCAATTACTGTTTTCCTGCTGGAGGCTATGTTCAGTGTCTTTTAGACTGCACTGTACTTCCTCATTTGCTATTTAATTTCTCCATAGTTCTGGATATTGCTTTTAGCAGTCCAGATATTGAAGCTCCAAATAAAAAAATCTTGGTTGGTACTGAAACATAGAGCATACTGAATTATTATACTTTCAAAAGATACATTCTCTTAGCAGATACAGCATACATGTTTTTCTACAAATCATATTTGACAGGTTTGGTCATCACATTGAACATAAAAACTCCAAAATACGAATACCAACTTGATTTTATTTCTGAATGACAGTTCATAGCATGAGATGCACTGTGATCAGGAGATATTACAATACACAGGATCTTCAAAAGATGAAAAATCCAAGAGGAGATTAGCTGGGATTTCCCCCATGGTCTAACAGGATGTTGTTGAACAGTATTTTATAAAGGGCAGCTCTGAAAGTGCTATTTTCATTTAGTGCAACTCAAAGTCTGAATGACAGAAGTAACCAACAAACACTTTTAAAAGTGGCAAAGCAATTTATGACAGTGGTGCAGAGCAGTGATAGGACTTACAGTGAGTTTACAAATTTTGGAATATAGGACCTCAACATGGAGAATCCCAACCCAAATCCACACAGTCCATTCATATTTAGATTCCAGTGCTATCAGGTATTTTTGTGGAAAAGGCCCGACATTTTAATCTCCAAGTAGCATTAAGAATCACATTTTAAATCAGTAAAGCAGTCGCTGATGATCTTGGTCTGCCTTCACACAGACTTACAACCTGGGTGTAATGCAAATTTCTTGGAATTAACAGGCTTTGAGACAAGGGTTTAGATATGGAACCCAACTGACTTTATTACTTCCTAGCATCCAGCCATTTTAACAATTCAACCTTGTTAGCATGGTCAGGGAAGCCTCTTTCCAGGTTTGAGAACAATTAAATGAAATTACAAAAGACTAATCTTGCTGGTTTGCTAAATGAGAACACTCACAATAGAACAAGGCCAAGTGTCTTATCATCATTCCTCTTTATATTGATCTTCAGTGTAAGCCCCCCAATACTTATTATTTCCATAGAAGGTTAAATTAAAAAGTGAAAACTGTATGCATGAAATAAAAAAATAAAATAAAATAAAAAAAGAAATCAAAGCACATTCCCAGATTTTCAAAGTGTTTCATGGAAATTATATAGACTATTAGTAAAACAAATCAACATGTTTGCTTTAGAATTTGAGAAAAACAATCAGGTTTTCCTACCATTTACTTATCAATGTGCTAAACTGCAAAAATCTTTGTAATAACAAAGTAGTTGTCAAGATGAGGCATCTGTTTGTTACTCTCTGTACTACAATGCAATCATGCCCTCTTCTCTGAAGTCCTTGCAATTTATTATTCAAGGAACACCACAGACTAATGGTCCTAGTTAACAGAAAGAAATCAGTACTAAATTGAAAAAAAGAAGTCCATAAAGAGCTATTGAGAGACTTTCTGAAACAGATAAATCACTGTTTTGGACAGGATAAAAACACAGTATTTCACAACCCAAGATTTGTAGTTGTGTCAATAGTAACAAAAAAACCCCAAGCTTCCCTTAATTTGGTTTTAAGATTACATTTAGGCACAATAAATAGATGTTTTAAGAGTGTTTTACACTCAAGGTCCAGCTTGACACCGTATCAATTTAAAGTGTAGGTGGATACCAGATTCTCTCAGACCCCACGTGCCACAGTTCACCAGTCCATGTGGCTTTGTTAGCCAGCCTTCCAAGCAGCAAGCCAGGGTTTACAGGACCAAGTCTAAGGAGGCCAGAACTGGCATACAGAAAACCAGAAAACAAGCTTTTTTTCTCAGCTGTGCCCCTCCAAAACCCCACTGCCTTACCTGGAAATTAGGTAATGGTGAACACTCAGATGAATCCAGGGGACTGTCTGATTACCTCTACCCAGCTCTCCTTTTTAATATTTACTTAATGTACAGGGTTACATGGTCAAGCCATCTCCATAAGGAGCTCTTACTAACCCTAACACCGGGCTTTCAACCAGGAGACTGATCATTTTCATTAAGACGCAAAGAAAACAAGGTGAGTTTGGAATGCTGCATTCTGATCAAAGGGATCTAATGCCGTGACATTCCCTAGCAAAAAGCATTTGTCATCCAAAAGCAATAGGCTTTCTGGCCAACCAGAAAATTGTATTTCTGACTTTGTATTAACTAGTCCCTGTTTGCAGCAGAAAATACCTGTAGTAATTCAATAAAAAAATAAATTCAAGTAAGTCCCAGTAGTCAAACCACAGGTGTATTGCCCACTAATGTCCATGCTAAGGAGAAGATGTATCTCTCTACAGAAGGTTTGTTCAACAGAGTAACAATCATCTTGCTCTATTAACTTAGGTCAAACTTTCTACATTATTTAGTCTCTTCAGTTACTAATGCAATTAAACAGGTAACAGTAGCATGGGGAGTCATATCAAGACATGGTCCAAAAAATTGTTTATATTTTTAAAACTGAAGAATTTTAAAATATAATTAAAAAAAACCAAACACCCACTCTGGAACTCTTCTTTGTACCCTATCCCTTTAGGACAAAGGCAAACCATTTTCAGAACACACCGAATTTCAGATGGTCTTTAAGGCACTGTTTGCAACATTTATGGAAAAGGACATGTGAAAACAAAATGTATTACAATATATTAATACAGCTGGGAAATTCTAATTGAATGTGAGGTTACAAGAGATGTTATCTCCCTTTTTCCTCTCCTCTTGCAGGGCTTCTCTCATTCCATTTGACCTCATGTTCCATCCCCAGAGGAATTACATCAGGACTGGATCCCCGATGCCATGGTCTGGGTTGCAAGTGAAGGAGATGGTGATGGCATAGCGAGTGCCCCAGTGAACCTTTTCCACTCGATGAAGGTTCTCCGATCCAGAGGTGAAAAAGGAAACCCGGCCTATAAAGACAAAGTATTTAATCAGTGCCATGGAGTTTGCCACTCAGCTATCAGCTCTCTACACAGTTTTGCTGTTGTCTCAGTCCAACTGCTCTCTAGCTACCTGAGAGCCTATAGGTCATCACAAAGAGAAACTGTTATGAGCTTATGCTGCATTCTGACAGCTTTATGTACTGTTTAAAACGTACATTAATCCTTTGTGCTACAAAGCTGGAGACTTAATTCCACCATATCTCATAGTTTATGAAAGGCAGGAGGAAGCCAAGAACATCTGAAGCCAGTTCTTAGTTGCCTCAAAAAACCAAAAGCAACTCTAGTAACTGTCAGCGAAGTGTATTGATTTCCTCCCTGCTCCCCTTCTAGTCTGGGCTCTATTTTTAGACCAAAGAAGGAGGAAGTACTACAAAGGTGGCAAAAAGTCTTCAGTTAAAAAATGCTCAGCAGGTTTACAAGCAGCTGTGGCAGCTTATCAGCATTGTACCAAGTATTTGCTGTAGCTTTTTGTGCAGTCTGATCACTCACTGTTCAGCCAGGTTAGAAAGTTATCTATCAGTCATATACAAATTAATTTTCCTTAGAATGAGCCAATGCATCAGCTCAGAAGTTGTTTTCTAGTTGGAAGTTGGTTTATAGTTGCAAGTGCTTACTCCTGTGCTCCATCCTGTCCAAGCTTTGACCACCACCCTGCCCTGGGGTTCTCTAGGGCTTGAGTGGCATCAAGGTGAAACACAGTTAACTTTGATAAAGACAGCAGAGGTATATTAGCATCCCACTTGATGAAACAGCAGAATAGACCCCCCTGCATTTTCACACTATTAAACTGTTCAGAGAATGTAGAAGTTTGATGACGTTTAGCAAGTAACTCAAAACTGATGCAACTCTGTAGGACTCGAAGTTCTCCTGAGAAAGCTAGTAATACTCAGATGCACAGCTGTTTTATCCCAATAGCATGTTTTTCCTACTCAGACTTTTTTTCCACGGTTCAAATTAGATTAAAGTTTGTTAAAAAGCTTATCATAGGGAACTCATATTGACAATCTAACTTTGCCTGGGTCTCACAAAGGCAAAATGAAATGCTTAGGTACCTAATTAATATTTGCACAACAAAAAGACAAACTATTCCAACCATTACACAGTCTCCACTGCAGAAATGGGCACTGGTTTTCTCTTCTGGAAGTGATCCAAAAGATCCAGAAGTTACTTCACTTGCATACTCTTAAGCAGCACACATGGGAGATCTGAACACAACGAGACTGGCCTTACAGAGCTTGGTTTACCCACTTATCTGAAGTCCACTTGAGTAGCCTGTGTCCCTTGCACATTCAGTTGAAGTTCACATTTAATCTTTCATAGTTCACAGTCTTTCATACCTGCCAAGCAGAAGACTTATCATACTCTTCTCTGCCTGTGGCTGCACATCAATAATTATTAAAGCTATATATATATCTAAAGAATAGATTCATTTGTATGCACAGCTCATATACACCTTTGTGTCCTGCTTTTTTGGATGAAAGACTAAATGAAGGCAATGTACTCCTATCCTATGAGTGTTGCAATGAACAGCACTACCCTCAAGGATTTCATACAACGTCCTCGCATCATGAAATGTTTTTTTTTCTTTTAAATCTTGTTTCAACATAATTCAAGTACTTTATTGTCAGTCCCTCACCTACTCACCTAAAGCTTTGCCTTAAACTGATTTTCAAGCTTTTTTGTTTGATCTCTTATTAGTAATGGTAGTAATTCAGAGTTAGACAAGTTTCAGTGTATTGTTTAAGCCAGTTAAACTGGATTTTTTTGGCTATATAGAATGTCTTTTAATTTCTTTCTTTAATAAATATGTCTTCATATATATGGTATCATATAGTTCCTTGTGCATCTGGTCCCATATCTGTCAACTGGGGTCTCTGAGTCCCTGAACAAGCCTACAGTCAGTTTTCAAAGATATTTTTTCCTCACTGTCCTTTAATTTCTTTTAAACTCACTTCCTTTGCAAAATTTTGAAGCAAAAGCACACCTTCTCCATGGTACGCTATTTTTAATAGTATAAATATTCAAAAAGATAGTAAAGAATGTTAATTCCCATCCCATCTGACAAAACCTTCAAGGGATATATGGCAATATCATTATCCAGAGACCCCGGGGAAGGACACAAGATAAAATAAAGCTGTACCATTACTGGATAGGATGAATTCTATGACTATCAAGCACACCACGACTGGACCCCTCATAATCTTGCTTCAATAACTAATATATGGAAAACACTTCAAAAATTAAATCACTACAAGAAAGCAAGCAGATCAGGACCACACAAGTTCCTTAAGGAAGTGTGGACCTTCTCCTAGGTTATAACTTGTCCTTGTTCTAGATATTTTTTGATCAATTTTGAGTTAAGATTTTAAACTCCAAAGCTCCAAACTATGAACCATATTTGCAAGTTAGTAGGATCACATGCAATATCAGTCTGGTTTTAGCTGTGAGATTGCATTCAAAGTGTTTAAAGCGCACTTCAAGTGTTACACACTGCCACAACTAATGTAACTGTGATAGGATTTCTCTCATTGTCAATGGTGAGGAAGACAGGCACAGGGCAGTTCCACTAAAACCTCCAGACTATGAAACACCGATAGAGTGAATGCTGAACTTCATAAGAGATTACTGTTGTAGAACAAATGCTAAAGAATAGCTATGCAACCATTCATTGCAGATAAAAGTACATATGTACTTACAATTTCCCGATGAAACACTTGAGTGACAAAAGGAGAAAGTGTGTACAATTCTAATCCCATTTCCTTTGTCCTTTTCTTCCATTATTTAACAATGGCCTCAAATCGCTCTTTTCATTTTCTTCTCCCCTCCTCTTTCCAACATGCTTTTCTGCTCCACTAAAGAAATCTTGACTACTACCTCCTGGCACATAATTTCAGTTTGATTTATGAATACTTACGGTTAAGAGTGTAAGCTTTTTTTGAGATCACAAACTACTCAATACTATTTTATACTATATTATCTAACCAAAAAAGAGAAAGTGTTTAAACCCTGGTCCTTAAGGGATGAACTTTTGGAGAGGAAGAAACAGCAATGGGATCAGCTCCTGATTTTAGGTTCATGCTTCTAAGCTTTCAGAAAGAGGCCAGTCTCTAAGCTACATTCTGAAGGATGATTAGAATGGAGGTGCCCTGGGGTTAGAAGTGGTGCCAAGTGTGAAAAACAAAGGATATGGGTTTTTCCACTGACATAAAACTATAATCCAAAAAGCATTTCATCCGGATTGTGAACATCTGACTCATTTTCCCCAATCACTGCAAGATGCCAAAAACTCCATCACTTCTTTAGTTTCTTGATACTTTGACCAATATCTCAACCTCAGGGAAGAGTTTTAGATCCTTAAGCCACAAGAAACCATGGGCTGCCCTCTCACATCTACTATCTATCATCTCCTCCTCAACTCCACTTTCTTTCCACAGGAAGTCAATCAGGCAGAGCATACCACAGCAATTACTGTGGCACACCAGAGCATTTAGTGCTTTTAACACTTGGACATGCAGCCCCCATATTATATAAAAATACTCACATTTTATAGACACTTCTATCAATCATCTTTCCTCTTTTCTGTCCAAGCATTTAAAACTTTTAAAACTTTATAGCTGTTCCCAGCTGGCTTCAAAATTTCCATCAGGCTGTCTAGTAATAGTGGAGTGAGCTATACTCCAGCCTAGTTCCCATGGAAGAGTGCAATAATGGACTGGAGTAAGTTCCTCTCACACAAATGCACTTGTTCTTACCTTTCTTACTAGATGAGCAAAAAAACAAAGAATTGGAAAAATTTGTGGTAACCTCAAGACCTGCAGGAGCCTGTTTCTAAATGATTAGCTTGCCTGCATATCTGCACAGGAACAGAAGTAATCAATCCTTGTCTTTGATCTCTATTTGACAACAATTCCTGAATCTACAGCTTGTTTTCTAATCCTTTCCATGTTTTCTCTACTTTCCAGCATTAAGTGTTAGAAAGTGAGTTTCAAGATGGAGTTTGACCCAATAAAAGCTTAGCTGATGAGCTTCTGTTCCTTGCAGACTGCAGAAAGTGTTATTGTGACGCAGTCACTCCCCTTTCTAGTTCACAGACTCCTCCAGCTCTGCTTCTATACTAAGACTAGTTAAGAGTTTCATCCACAGGTGGAGCTGCTTCTCAGCTCCGTTCTGTGGCCTTTAAGCATCCACACAAGTTTTAAAAACTTAAGAGTAAGTAAAGTATAAATTGTATGGAGGATTAAAGAACTACTGTCATGGAAAGCTCAGGTGCAAACTCATTTAAATACACCCCACACACAGAGTGGCCTAGGACAAGGAACTGCTAACAAGCTCAGGACCATTGCATCCTATCAAAACTGAGCCTGGTCTTTGGTGTCACTGACACAAGTCAAGCTCTTAAATGCTGTCAGGCTGAGAAAATCTTATGAATGTGAAAAATAGGAAAGGTCTTGCTTCTCTTACAGAGAGCGATTGTATTAGAAGTAACCACTTATTCTCCTGGTATTGAGAATCAATTTTTGCACTGATTCACAGGAATCTATTTATGAAGACATACATGTGCCAGTCACAAGCTCCACTGCTATGAATTTTATGTGATCCTAATTTAGATGAGGCAACACTTATTTTCAGGAATAATACTTAACAAGCAGCAAAAGCAATGGATATTTCACTATGCAGCAATTATATCCCATTTAATTATTCAAAGAAAACCACTAGAGGAATGTACATACCAACTATGAACTTTGAATTTTCCCTGCTTTTGCTTTCCCAGGTTTTAATCACACTCATAATTGCCCCTTAGCAATGAATTCTTTTTAGATGTACTCAGAAGATATAATCACCACAAGAAGCAGCATACAGGTGGGAAAGAATTATGCATTCAGCTATATATCACAGGAGAAATGTCAGTATTCACGTAACGCTTGCTCTCAAGAGATTTTAACCATGTTGAATTTTAACATTCAGTT